AAAAGAATTGAGACCAGGAACATTTTCATGTATTGAACCACTTTACATATAATTATGCCAGTAAAAAAATCCTCTATCTGCAGCATGTGCAGTAGATGGTGAGAACAATTCCCTTTTAACAGTCACTCCTGTACTGATACTTCCCCACCCAAATACCATGCCCCCCTCCCCATTTCAATGGCAGCCGAAAGCAAGCAGCAAAACAGAGGCTGACAGAGATAGCTGGGAGATGTGTAGCCAAAATAATATTCTTTCCCGTGGGAGCCAAGGATGCTCCAACCAGGTGTTGGAAGGCCCTGGCAAAAGCCCGTCAAGAGTTGGGACTGTGACCTGATTGGACCATGTGATGGACGTATGGCCTGGGGAGAAGGAACTTCGGGTTTTGATTTGGGTGGGGAAAACCTCGAGTCCTATAGAATTTGGTTTTCACCAGCCGTGCCAATATGTCATTCCTAATAAACACATACTTTGAGGGAACTCCATGCGGATTGCTTTGGTTCTATTACTTGGAACCCTGATAGTAAGATAGTAAGTGCTAGGAGGGAGTAGAGTTCTTTCTGTCTATACTTAAGCCGTTTGTCCCATCAGTGTTGCTGGGAGAGTGTTTTTTTTCCTTGGTAGTTCCTTGATCAGGATATTACTTTTTGCATGATTGTTTGTCTGGTGTTAATCCCTGCTTATCTACTAGCTGCTGGAGAGGTTGTATCAAAACAATACAGAATCAAGATGTGTTTTTTATTTGATCTGTTAATGATTAACATGGCTTCATTCAGTACAGATAGTCCTCGACTTATAACCATTCATCTAGCGGCCATTGGAAGTTCCCCAAAAGTGACGTCAAAGGGACATTTCCCCATTGAATGACTGTTCCCACTTAATGAGAGAGAGTCCCACAGTCACATGTTCAAAATTCGGACACGTGGCAACTGGCTCCTATTTACGACGGTTGCATTATTCTGGGGTCACAAGCAAAGTCCACGGGGAACTCAGGCTCACTTAACAACCGTGTTACCCATTTAACCATTGGTTCAGTGATTCACTTCACCACTGCGGCAAGCAAGGTCATAAAATGAGGCAAAACTGACAGAGCTGCTTCCTCGCTTAGCAGTGAAAATTGTGGTCGTAAGCCAAGGACTGCCTCTGATTAGGCATGTCACACAAGTCCAACCTTTTGGGTTTGAAGACCCTGATTCTTGCTTCTTCACCATTTCTTGTGTCATTTTCAACAGGGAGACGTTACCTGCAGTTTTACCTACGCAGCTCAGGGCGGGACGAACGAGGTAAGTTCTTTTCTTCCCATCCTTGTCTGATCCGTTCTGCGTGGATCTGCGTCTCGCAAAACTGAACGCCCGCACAGCACACCAGCTTATGCGGAGGGAAGGTAGCTCCCCGTTGGGAGACCGAGTGCGTTCAGAGAAGCGTTGTGGGAGTTGTGTTGGAGAACACACAAACCAGCATACAGAGAAACTGCAGTTGAAATAGGCTTTTACTTTCGTGGAAATATAGAGGTATCAGAGTCCATCAAACAGTCCAAGTCATACACAGATAAGACAGTCAGTCATCAACGTCTTTCAGTTAAGGGATAATCCAAATAACATAGTCTAGTATCATACAAACAGTCAGGTGCTCAAAGTTTGCTAGCAGTTGCAAAACTTACAATAGCTCACAGCACTCAGATCAGATCAGCCCTGCATCTAACAAACAGAGAGAGAGTCCGGACTAAAAGGGGGTCTGGTTAATATC